TAGTTAAACTCTCATGCCTGCCTTGATGCCCTGAATGGTCTCAGTCATTTACCTTTCATGGTCATTTTGACTTGGAGGAAGAGCTAGAAGTCACATGGTACCAGGTCTAGCAAATAAAGTGGATGAGGGCAAACTGCAATGCTTTTTATGAGCCTGCTGTTCCACTGGGTGGCACTCAGCAGCTACCACCACATCTCATAAAGACATCTGAAAAGAGGGCTTCCAGAACGCCTTAGAAAGAAGAAATGGTGAAACTGCCTGAAGTGAGGGGGAGGATTTCAAGGGAAGTTAATGGCAATGTCTTTGACTATAACAATAAATAAATAAATAAATAAATAAATAAATAAAATTTAAAATTTTTTTTAAAAACTTAACTATTCACTATATTTCAATCATATCTTGTATTATTAAGTGTTTATGTTTTGGCTAATACACACATATGAGAAGGGTCTGTAATATTTTTTCTGTCTACTTACAAAAGTACTGTTTTCTTTGTGGGAAAAAAGTATGGCATTCTTTTTAGCTACCTTCTAAAAATGGAGCTAATTCATGGTATGTCATGGTAAATGAACAATGCAGGATATAATTTCTTCTGTTTTCAGGATCACAACTACAATAAAAAAAAAAAAAACTCTAGTAGGAAATATATCCAAATTTAATAATAGCTGTCTTTGGTTGGAGAAAATGAAGATTTGTTTTACTTTTTTCCACGCTTGCTGTAATTTCCGGGCTTTTTTTTTTCCTGCTGTTTATTTACTTACATAATTACAAAAGACTAAATTTTTCCAAGAGGCTTATTTAGCAAGATGTATGTCTAAACTCCTCTCTGGCACTCATGCCAAACCTACTCACTGCCAACCAGACCTGCAGTGGCAGATGTGACACTGATTCATACCAGAGCTCTGAAGTGTCAGAATTCCCCAAGCAAAGAGAAGACGACAGCCAGTGTCTGTCCGTCTCTCCCTGCCACCTTCCCCAGAGGGAACGTTAAAACATGCTCCCTTAGTTCTTGTCTTATCATGTCAGTTTCACCAATCCTTCATCTTTCCCATGAACGCAGTCACAGGATATACAAATTTAGCCAAATGAATTTCATAGAAACATTAACCCAGACCACAGATGATCAACTCAGGTAGGAAAATCAGGTTTGGTATTGAGAGGTACTGTATCTGGTCTATCATTCACACCGTCATGCTTTGGAATAGTCCTTGCTGAGAGGGTAGGATCATTATGCTCCACAAAATTCTGCAATTTACCTGAGATACTGGCCCTCTGGCTTCACATTTCCTTAAGCAGGAAATTAACTTTTTTTTTTTTTTTTTTTTGGCGGAACCAGGGATTGAACTCAGGCCCTTGCACTTGCCAGGGAAGCGCTTATTCCACTGAGCCATCTCCCCAGCCCCAGGAAATTAACCTTTAACTGGAAAATTTCAACTTCTAACGGCAGCCACCCAATCTCCTTCTCTCACATCCAGTTTTTTCAAATTCATAGCTCTGGCCAGTCAGTGATGGTTTCACACATCTTTGTTTGCAGTTGGGATTCCAATACGGCACCTGGGGCTCAGCCTCCCCGTCATTGTCCACAGGCTGTCCATTTGTTTCTGTAAGACAGCCACTGTCGATCCCATCTCTGCTTAAAGTTTCCATCCTATTTCTAACCACATGTACTCCTGTTGACTGGAGCCAATTGGACCCTTTCTTCCTTCTTAGCATGGACATTGACTCAGTCATCTCATCTACCACCTTCCTTTTCACCACTGCCATCAAGTGACTTGCTCTGCCTGCCCATAGTAGCTGCCTGGAGCATGAAGGTGCCCAACCCTTTACTGTGATAGTAGTAGACTGTCCTTCCACTGATATATGTCTCCCTTTGAGCAAAGCTCTGGGCCCCTGTAGCACCTAGAGAGCAGAACCATCAGCCCTGCACCCAACCTAAATGGAACCTTACCATCAATTCCATACTGAGATAGTTCTGGGGGCCTGGCCTGGATAAGCTTACCAGCAATCACCACCCAAGAAATCAGTCCTCCAAGCACCATCATTTCTGGTCTATCAACAAATGGCCAGTGTGATTTGTGATGATGAGGGGGCCCAAGAACAACATCTCCGAAACTTCCTCTGGCTTGCCCTGTACAATACAATGAAATTAAAATCTCACACTCACTGGTCACACATCCCCTGCTCCACAGGCATAGGTGGCTACCATTCTGGGCAGTACAGCTGGAGAACATGTCCCTCCCCACAGAAACTTCTCCTGTGGCCCTGACACACAGAGCAGGACTGCTCCAGAGCCAGAAAAGGCTTCCACCTCTGTCCTACATATTTGCTCCTAGGAGATGGGGCGGAATAGGGCATGTCTAAAAAGGCAAGGCTGAAGTGCCCTCTGGGGACAGTGGCGTCCTCTTCCATCAAAGCACGGTGTACTTCTTGCTGACCCTTCTGTCTCAGGCAATTCCTGGAAAACCTATAATCACCTTTTCTGAATAAAATCAGAAGAGTTTTTGAACCCAGGGAGTTTAAATGAAAACTAAAGCAAATGCTAGTGCCAGAAAACCTCATCTACAGCCCTTTTCAAAAGTCACTGGTGAAAGTGACACACATTTGTCTCTGCCAGCCTTCCTAGCCCTCCTCCTCACACAATGACTTCAGGGACAAAGACTAGCTGAGGTCCAGGACAACGCAGCTTCCACAGTCAAAGTCTTCTTACCCAGCAGGTACACCCCTTGCAGACTGGAGTGAGTTTTTAAAGCCTAAAATTAAAATAATCCTGCCATTTAATATGTTTAATGGCTAATCCACTCCATGCCCCCAGCGATTCCTCATGGTACACATTCCTAGGAGCCCGCTGCTGTTTGTAGATGACACATCCTGGACGTGAATAACAACCAGGGCTCCCAGGGGCCCACAACCATTTAGAAAGATGTTTGTTTTTCTTTCTCCTTCCTCTTCCTCCACTTGGGAGAGTCAATTATTAATCTTACCGTCTAGAGCAGAGCTATTAGAGGCAAGGGTATTGCTGTGTTCAGAGTGTCTGTGGAGCCCTTCGCTCCTGAGTAGCTCAGACGTAGAAGGGCGTGACTTAGACAGACATGCAAGTGCACGGCTAGGTTTCTGCTTTGATTTCAGGAGCCCTCAGGCAGGAGCAGCCAGGAAGCAAGCCACTTCTGACCTGCGGCCTGAGAGCAATCCAGTCACCGCCACTGCAGCTGCTTCCGGGCCTGCTGCTGACCTGGGCACTGGTGAAACCGCTCCACGCACCCTCGGCATGCACAAGCCTGCTCGGCTTGGGGTGCATCGGCAAGTCCCCTGCCTTTGCCATCGGCTCACCCAGGGTACTGCCTCAGCTTTCCCCGCCACCCATCCTCATACCCACGGAGCCAGCCTGCCCTCCCGCACGCAAGCACTCTCCCAAGCAGCCGCCCAGGCTTCGCAAAGCCTAAGCACAGCAGATCCACGCATGTTCGCATCCCACTCTGCAGCCCAGCAAGCTCCAAGCACCACTGGGGGCCCAAACGAGGCTGCCCATCCTCAGTCCCCAACACCTTCGGTACATCCTGTTCACCTCTATAAATAACTTCAGGGATATGTCTGGGGCCTCAGTCAGGCTTAGAAAAATAGAAAATACATAGGAGGAGGGTTAATGACAAGCCACCACCCCCTCCTCCCCCTTGGGGAAACAGAAGACCTGTGAATGAACGGGAATTCTCATGGAAGGAACTGCCTCCTCCTTGCCTCTACTCAGCCTCCAAAGGGATACCCACCCCAGGCCCATGATGCCGCACAAGCATCTGGTCTACCCTTAAGCCCAAGGGCAGATCCGGTAGGCTCAGCTCCATGGGACACTGGTGTTGGTGTAGAACAGAGCTTAGCCTGGGACGCTGTGGCCAGGCAGTGTGAGGGTCTAGGGTGCAATGGCTTCACAGAAGTAACTGTTGGGTTTTTCAGCCACACAGTAAAGAGATAGGAATGAAAAAGGAAGCCTCTTTTAACTCTAAAGACACAAAGAGGATCGAGGCAGATGGAGGAGTCCTCTGACCTTAGACAAAGAGAACTGAGACTTTTATGACTTTTGCTAGGGGTGGAGTTTGAGGGGCAGTTTGAATTACATGTAAAGAGTTGATTGGGGGGGCTGGGGAAATGGCTCAGTAGAATAAGCGCTTGCCTGGCAAGCACAGGGCCCTGAGTTCAATCCCCAGTACCGCAAAAAAAAAAAAAAAAAA